CCCCCCCCCCCCCCCCGTGGGTATACATATAGCTTTCAAAATAAGCCGGCGGGTGTTACGAAGTTTACCGCTGGCTGATATCTTGAAAACAATAACTGTACCAACTAAAAACCGATAACAGGCTACAAATACGGTAAATATCAAGATTTTGTTGGCATCTCACTCAATGGACCTATTACCTAATGAACAAAATTTTGATCTAGACAAGTCTAGACACAAATTTCATCACAGCTTGAAAGAGCATCACAAAATTAGTAATATTCCGAGGTTTCGTTGTGAAATGTTGTAAAATGCGGATAATATACCCCTGCGAAGTTTGCCGTTTTTCAGTCATTTTGTATTACGCACGGGAAATTGATACCTTTTTTTCAAAAAGCGGTTATTTAAAATAATCTTTTTGTACTAAGCCTATATGGTCTAATATTCAAACACAGAATTACTAAAATGCGGCTTAGAGAAAGTTCCGTCATACAAGATTTTAGAATAAAACTAATATAATTTGAAAGTAGAGTTATCAAATGTATAAAAAACCCAATATCTGCTGAATAAATCCTAAAAATGCGTAGTTTGAACATGTCAAAGTGTTGAACACCTGAATATTTGAAAACTGTATCGAGCCACCTTAAGAGTTTTTACAAAAGTTACGCAACTGTCGTTGCTATGGCAAGAATGACGTTTCAAAACGGCGGATATTTTGGTTTTAAGGTGATTTACCTTTAAAATGAAAAACTTCAAAATTTGATTCATGACAATTCTAAAGAATGTATTCAAAAGTACTTTCAAGATATTAACTTATTTCCACATCGCGAAACCGAGATAAATAACTCGTGCAAAGTTGAGCTGTCTATTTTCACCATAAATACAATAATATGTAGAGCGGGGGTACTCTACTTACTGAGCTACGAGGTCAATTCGGTTCGAGCAAGTATGTACTGTAGTAGTGGCAGTAAGAATCATATCGATGGGACTACATGCACTCATTTCCGAGATATCAACCACTCTCACCAACTTGACCATGTAGCTAGGTTCGTTGAGTGTTGGACTGGCAAACCATAATTGAGAGAGAACTCGAGTCCAAAAAGTGAAGCCAGCTTCGTATTAACCGCACAGACAAAAACAATAGAAAGGGACTGGAACTTGGGTCCAATAGCTTCTTCAATGTCCACCATCTTGGCAAGGAGTGTGCCGAAATTTCGTATTTTGACATCGATTTAAAGAATAACACGATGGTTTTACGAACTGAAAACTTGATTAGCGATACGATCCGTTAGAAATAAACTGGAATTAGCTGGGGAAAATGGTATAAAAGTTGTTTACGACCTTCACAGCTATTGGACGTCAATGGCCGCCATCTTGGCTTCACTTTCACTCATAAGGCCTGTTTACACTTGCAATTTCTGCTGCGATTTTAAGTGCGATTTTCTTCTTCCGATGGATGTGAACGAGTGGATGAGTTATGAATGTTCAGATGAGGGTAGATCAATGAGGCATATACTCAGAATATTCATAACTTATTTACTCGTTCACATACATCAGAGGAAGAAAATCGCACTAGAAATGGCTAGGAATGTTCGGTATGAGAAATTTTCGGTATCGGTATACCGAAAAAATTATACCGATATTATCGGTATACCGGTTTTCCTTTGATAATTATAAAGGAAAATTCTTTAATGGAAATCTGAAGAAAATTTTGAGTAATTCTAAAAGGGAAAACGATAATTTCGAAGCTGTTTCGAACATGTTTCGAACGACACGTACTCAGTGTAAAATCTCACTGAAGAGGAAATTCTAAATCATGGAAGTAGAAAGTTCTTTGAATTGCCATTCAGTGGTAAAATAAAGGTTATGGTTTCGCCATATAGTTGGTAAATTTAACATGGTATACCGAAAAATTCCGGTATTTTGAAAATTTCGGTATATCGGTATGGTTGAATATCCGGTATCGATATACCGATATTGATTTAATACCGATATTTTCGGTATATCGGTATACCGAACAGTCCTAGAAATGGCAGCAAAAATTGCAAGTGTGAACGGGCCTATAGGCCGAATGACTGAAGTTCTTGCACAGTCAACCAGTTTTTTAGGCTGGCCTCGCTCCGGTATATAATAACTCATTCTGTTGTCGTTGTCTTGAAATTCAAAGCTGAACCTACTTCCGCCGTAATGCATAGTATACGTATTAAATTGAGTATAAACTATATACTGTATAAGTACTTATACTGGTGGTGTTAAACAACTTCCATTCGTATTGTAGATAACGAATGGAAAACTCGCTATCAAACACAACATCAAATAAACGAACAGCTGGAAAAACAGCGAATTATGCTGCAGGATAAATTGCAAAATTTCCGTGAAACATCCAAAAATGGTAAGAATAGAGCCTGGTTCACACTAGCAATTTTGTCGGCGATTTTATGTTTCTGACGCATGCAAATGAGTGAACTCGCACACAGAAGAATAGAGTCGCTTTTCAGAAGTAACTTGCTTTGTGTTGTCGATTTTATTCATATCTGCAAAATTTTTAAGCCATTCTTAACTCGATAATTCACAATAAATAATGTGTTTTAATGCAAGCTGGTATACATGAAATTGCAGCGAATGTATATCGTTCATTAAGCTATAACGCATCAGTTGTGTTTTTATGTTTGGATATTAAATATACAAAACACGTTACCAGTCAAACGACAATACCGCATATTAATATATCCATTATTTATCTTAGGTAATCGTCATGATATTATTGATAAATATACAAAACACGTTACCAGTCAAACGACAATACCGCATATTAATATATCCATTATTTATCTTAGGTAATCGTCAACTCCAAAAAAGATCAAATAAAGAAGAACTCTCCGATGTAAGTAGTCCATGGCGTCTTAAGACCAATCTAAACGATGTGGTTGTCGTAAACGTTGTATTCTGACTAGTGTGAGTGGTAACTAGGGACAAATGGCGTGTGAACGTGTGACAAGTATGTCGGATGAGAGTTGGCAGTCACGCACAGTGAACTCTATAAACTGGATTAACAGAGACGGATTTTCATATTTTTGTTCGGGGGGTGGATAAATATCTGGGGGTGGGGTGCTGCTGCTTGCTTTGGCCGGGGCCTGGTGGCAACGCCCGGAAAGGCCAAGGAAAAAGTTTAACAAAATTTGTTTTCTAGGCCTGCATGGCGAGATCTGAGACCATAATATTGGTAATTTTACAAATTTAATAGTAAAAGTGATCAAATATGAAACTATCAAATCAAAATATATATAATTTGCGGGGGTGCAAAAACTTTTGGGGGCGGTGCCAAATGCCTCTAGGGGAGTACAAATCATTTCTGGGGGGGGGGGGTGCGCACCCGTGCCTGAACTGCAATCCGTGCCTGGGGCCGGTTGTACGAAAGGTGGATAAATCGCTATCCGGTGGATAAGTCCCTATCCAGCGGATAAATTTTATCCGGAGTGAAAATCGCGTTGTACGAAGCTTGGATAGCGCTATCCAACGGATAAAATGCACTATCCGTTGGATAAATTTATCCGAGGTCCGAAGGTAGTTTAAATCCACTATCCGGCGGATAAACTCGAAGTTTGAAGACAAAACAATGTTTATTTCATTTAAAAAGGATTGCTATTGTGATAGAAATGGACAAATACCGTTTAGAATTCCCTTTTTTGACACTAAATAAACATGGAAACTTACTTATGACTTCTCTTGCTCTTGACGTACCGAGCTCACTTTGAGTCACTTGCCCATTAAATAATGCCATGACTTTGCCATATTTTATGCAGACCTGTGTCAGTGCTTAGACGTTACGTTTTCTAGCTAGTCCTTACGTTATATAGCTCGAAAACAAGCAATA